AAGTTATTTGAAGAATTTGACGTTAATTTTCTTGAACTCAGATTATAAAGAGATAATCTAGGAAGAGATCAGAGATTCCAGGAATATTCACAGTGAGACGATGGGAGATAATTTTATTTGGTGTCGTATAAAGTCAGAAACCGCCGTGTTATTCCTAAATTGCGAAAAACTCGCCGCGATAATTGTGTAAAAAGACAGACGAAACTTTTGAATTATTCAGAAGCCATCTCGAATTGGATATTTTCCTGATGCTCCAAACTTCATCGACGACAATATGTTATCCTTCAATTTAGACTAAAAACGTGGCGCTAACCGAAAACCCGATAGCAACGTTCTGACGCAATCGATTTTACGTAGATTCTCTAAATTGAAATTTAATTCGTCCACGTTGTTGAATCAACTAATGCTATAATCACTATTAGTTCATCACGTGATACACGTAACTATCGTGTGAGCATTCATCATGTTGTATTCATTATCGCTCAAATTTAATATCGATTAACATCGATATTTTGCAATATAAAGTTGCCAATCAGTGCGTTAATAAATATCCGTTGTGAAAATGTGTTGAGTATATACTAGAATCACTATATCCACTGATATTTTTTAAATGTCGAACAAATTAGAGACAAAATATCGAAAATATTTTATGTCAAATGCAAATAATCTGTAATATTAAACAGTGGTTTATTAATATTAAAAACGTTAGCAATATTATATCACAGCTATGATATTCTATTTTCGATCGCACTAGTACTCGATGTAGTTAAAGTATCTATATAAATAAATCTGCTTTCTGAACAGTGTACACTTTTATTTTAAGTTTAAAATACAGATTGACAAAGAAGTTTGTATGACCAAATTTTGTGTTTCAAATTATTACAATATATTTAAAAAAATCAAACTCTAGAGCGTTAGTTACATCTTAATTAAATATCAGAAGAACTGTACTAAAAGATTTTCATTGATTAATGAACTAAAGAACCGCTCTCTACTGACTACCTAGAAGAATTTGTTCGTGAAAACATATGCGGCTATCGTTGAAGCGTCTTAAAGATAATACAAAAGTATCAAACCTGAAGATGGCTATTTGAATATTAATTATTACTTTTGTATTTAATAAGATATAACTAATAGTCCAAAGTTTGTTTTCTTGTAAACATATGTTACTAATGATTTGATAAACACAAAACTTCGTAATCAAATTTTTTCGATATCCTATAGGTGTATGTTTAATATCTGACAAAAATAAGAAAGTTCTAGTACATAAATAAGAACACAAACCAATTAAATCTAATTGGCACATCTTAATGGAAACATAAATGCCGCGAGTACTCAATGTCGCGGTCAAAGGTGGAAAAAAACTGCAACCAATCGAACTTAAGATAGGCTCTCGGTGAGTACAAATCAGGAAGAACAGAACGAAGAAACAACCGCGCGTAATGAGAGCTCGAGTAACCTAGAGAACGAGAGAAAGGAAGATAAATAGACGAGAGGTAGGCCGCGGAGGGGCCTGAAGAAATGGAGCTAAGAAATGGCCTCTTGAGGATTAGAATGAATTCACCGCGGACGAAGACCGTGCAATTTTCGTTTCTCGGCTTGGATTTTATGCCCCTTTCACACGATCCATTTGAAAAAGTCTTTTATTAATTCGTACAAACAAACAGATAAAATAACATTTCGTTTTTTTTTTTTTTACTGCTGCGAAGAATTATATTCTAAATTAATATCGATTTAAACATACAGGTTCGGATTTACACAATGCTTTTATCGATAAACGCGCGCTTTTATTTCTGAAATTCTAATAATACGTGTAACGTAAATTACATATGCGCTAAATGCGCGCTAACATTGTTATAAACTGTGTTCTGAATATAGGCTATGAATTATTTGGCTATTTCAATCTCTTCTTTTATACGTACACCTGACACTTTTGTGTAATTATATAAAATTGTGTATATATAGTATGTTATGAAAGATTAAAGAACGCGTTTCAATTTTATAAACATAGATGTTATTACGCAAGTATTTCAAGGCATACCTTCTATCGCGTATTTTAGAGCGTGACATAGACTTTAAACCAGTGGGAGGTTACCGTCCTCTTCCATCGGAATCACCACGATCCTTTTCTTCCTCCTGAGTCAGCCTTTCCCCCATTCTCACCCCCTCACGTCTCGCACTACTCCAATGCGATACCTCTTTTTCTTCTTCTTCTTCTTCTTCTCCTTCTTTCTCACCCCTTGAATTGCTCGATGGCGGTTCAGACACGGTGCCGGCAACGTGTCTTTTGTCCGCGGACCGGTTTCTGCCGGTTCCTCGAACCATTTATTTCCCTCGTCCCTCGGCTATATATGACTGTATACTCCTTCTCACTCCGCTTCTCCTCCCGCTCGTCCTCTCCTGTAACTCGTTCTCCCAATACGTTCCTCCATCCTCTCATGCCGTTCCTTTTCTCACTTCCATCTTCGCGTCTTCCATCGCCTACTACCTCGTCCTACCATCCTCGATTGCGTTACACCCTTTTTTTTCGGCCAGAGTATCGTATCACTGGCCGGTTCTTGCACTCGAAATAACGCCCCGATTCCTGGCAGCCTCCCGCGAGTCCATGAATGAACGCTCGGTCGAATCGCTCGGAGGCATGGAGGAGACGAGGAGTCACCGAGCCCGGCTTGTCTGACCTTCGCATGGGTCGATTTGGTGCGCATCTATCGACGACGAGGACGAGGGCGACGACGACCCCGTTTGACCTCGCTTCATCGACCACACCGAAGACCTGGACACTGGGTCGACAGAACTATGCGGTAGCTCACGACTACGTAGGGCTCTTCCGCCTTGGCGTCGGTGTGCAAGACATGGAGGGGGAGAGGTCATGGTTATCGATAACTGGCGATTTTATTGGCGATGCTATTTCTTATATATGCGCGTATCCCGAGCGAGACACTTCACGAACTTCGTGCGATGTCACGCATGTTCCTAGATTAACGATCTCGAAAAATTAAACACAAATAATATTTCTCTGCACTCTGCGGGAAAAAAAAAGTCGAAATATTTGCAACCAAATGTCACATGTGACGTTTCCCTTGATATTTATTGCTTAATAAAAAAAATTTTACCGTGATGACAAAATATATATTTCTGCGAGATATATCTCATTAACGGTAGAAAAAATGAAATGGATGATTTATTTGTTAGGAATAAAAAATTTTACTTCGCCGTATATTCAAATGAGGATTTATTTCAGTGAAATAAATTTCATATCGCATAAATAAATTTTGAAGTATTTTTCTCAGTGTGTTATGTTGAATGTACAAAACGTGTAATTTATTCAGATCGACTAAAAATACTTGAAAAGTTCCTTCATAAATTCGAAGATTACACTTCTGCAATGGTAATTATTGTGAATTATACAATCTTTTAATATTTGAAGTCAAATGATTTTTCATGCATATCATTGAGTCGCGATAACCAATAAAGCTTAGAAATTTATTGTTAAATTACGCTGCAAAAACAATTGTCAATCGTTCGTGACGTGAAAATGATTGGCATCCTAACTGAAATGAGAAATATTTGCATATTAATTAAAAACAATACCTACGCCCCATTACAGGTTTTCTTTAATTGACGCATGATTACTCTTTGATGTAGAAGCATCCCTAAATATATAACTTGGAAAGTGAAAAAACTACGACACGTCTCATTCTGTTTCGTATCGGAAATAGCAATGGTATTATTTTCCTTAGCAACAATCAGTTTTTACGCACTTCCTGCGCCCTAACTCGCGATGTTTACGAGCGCTTGTCGATGTACAACACGACGCGAGCGCGATATCACAGTGCTTTTATCGCGCTTTTATTATGATACCCGAGACGCCAGGGATCGCGTTGTTAAATCAGAACCCTTTCGTTCGTCTTGTTACGCGCGCGCGCGCGCGCGAGGGCGAGATTGCTCGGTACGATCGATTGGTGAAACGATCCCTCCCTCCCCCCCTCCCCCCTC